AGTCATAAAGTCATAAATCAGAAGTAAGAAACTAAAAATTCACGACTGTGATTGGTCCATTTCTAGCTTATGACTTATAATTTATAATCGATGACTGTAGAAGGCTCACAAAAAGGCTCATAATAAGTATGTTTTAATATGCGGCTTTTTTTGGTTGGTTTTCATGTCATTTTAAGACTGTACATAAAAAAACATTATATTAATTGATTGAATTAAAGGAAATAGGACCTACAATTGTTTTTTATTGAAAAAAGGTGTTATTTTATGTAAATAAATTAATCCTTTATGACTATCGTTAAATTTGAGTTGACTATCGCTATTTTTATTTAAAATTCAAAGATATATATATGTATACGTATATGTATATATATATATATGTATACATATAGTCTATTTGGCCGGATTATACATATACATTAATCGTATTAATATCTGCATTCCAAAACTTTACTCTGAGTAAAAGTGTTAACTCATATATTCACAGTTTGTTCTTATTTCAACATCGCTTTAAGTAATACCTTAAAACACTATAAACAGATCACACATTTATATTATTAAAAAGAAAAAGTCGTTTAGAACCATATTAACATTTCAAGATAAAATGCAGATCTTAAAATAAGAACTAGCGACTATAAATGAATATGGTTCATGAAATTAATTTTTTATTTGAAATAAAGTTTTAGAATAACCTAAATTTATGACTAAAGCGATATATAAAGATACAACCTTAGAGAACCGGACCTATAAATATTTTTATTGAAAAAATATAGGTAAACTAAAGTACGCGAAAATATTCGAAAATTGCGTCAGTAACGACATCTCTTAACGATGGACTATACTTTATTCCTTGTCTCGCAATCGGAATCATTATCGACTATCGCACTGTCGATTATAACCGCGTAATTACCGACAGGACTTGTGCAGTAAAAAAAAAATTATAAAAATTAAATTAAATTAAAAAATTAAAATTATTAATACTTCTTACATTTATTATCATATTTATTAAGTTTATTTATCTAATTTATTAAGTGTATTAAAAAATTTTTATTTAATATTGAAAATAAATTTTTAATTTTATGTGGCATGAAAGCAAATAAATCGTGAAAGGGATGGTCATTTTATTTAAATACTAAATATGAAAATTTTCTAATCTTTTTGGATTCTTTCAATTGTCATAAACAGTCAGAAACTTTTTAAAAATTAAATCACAGCGACAAAATTAATTAATTAATTCGACAATATCGAATTATCTAATTAAATGGAGTACAAGAAACTTATGCAAATTTCTTAAGTTTATTTGAGAATTCTTTACGTAAGTTAAAAAATGTAAATCTGAATTTTTATTAATTTAACAGCGTAAAATTAATATAATAAATCGCGCGCTTTTATGGGAAAAAAATAATAAGAGAGAGAGAGACGATCATTAATTTCATCAGATTTCTCATTGAATAAGATTTTCATACCTATATTCGCGCCAAATGGCATTTCTTGTTCGTCAGAAAACAAGTTTAAATATTCACAGTCAACTTCTCTCTGCGCGATAACTGCGCCCGACGACTGCGGAGATAATCTATTTGGTTCCCCTTATTATCTCTCGCGCGACGATTATCGTACGTTGAAATCTACGTGGCGAGGAATCTGCGCCTCGCAGCTGCACCGTGCTGTACCTTCTGCACTTGAAACGGGAACGAGCGTGCGATCGGACGTGGGTGCGACAGAGAGACGAGACGAGAAGCACGTACGAGCGAGATGCTCGGCTACGAGGAGCGCGAAGAGTGTGCCTCGTGATACGCGGCCGATACGGTATCGGTAAGAGCTGCCGAGCCGAGAGTCGCGTTCGAAAGTACGTGCGCTTGCGGCCAGCTTCCGTCCGGTCGGCGGCATATATCGCAACGATGTGACGTTCACTTCACGTCGTACGCACGCAGGCAGGCAGGACCTCGTCGGTGGTATGGCACGGTAGGGCGGGCGGTATATATCGCGTTTCGGGGGCGTTTCATTAAGGAGCGCGCGTTCACGGTGCGTGTACGCTTTTCTCCCCGTCCCCACGGCTCCTCGCCCGAGAGAGGAGCGTCCGCGACCACGTCGCGCGTTTAATGGGGAGTTACGGGGCTTCACCGATCACGGCTTAACATTAATCGGCTGCTCCCCCCGGGTTCAGGAGGTGTGTGCGTTATATGTGAGTGTGCTGACTCGTTGATAAACAACGCGCGCGCCGACGTCATCACCAGGAAACGCGCGATGCATGTCCCGGCGCCACGAGCGCAACACCCTAAAGTCTCGTGAACGATGTCCAGGTGTCAATAATTGACATCCCTTAGATTGTAAAGTGGCGAACCCGAAGAAACGCGTTTACGGGAGCGCGTAGGTAGGGGCAGGAAGGTATGGAGGGTGCCAACGGTCAGCTGCAGACCAAGTATCAGAAAGTCGCCACGGAATACTCAAAAGTGAGATACTTTCGTAAAACCAGATTTTATATGTTTTCCAATAAACATCAACTAGGAGTAATATACATTTGAAAATTTTATTGTATGACAAATGAAATATTAGTCTAGCATTAGTCTGACATAAGATACCAATATTATAATTTCACACTGTCATATTTATATTGAGTATGAAATTATAATATTAATGTTATGTTACTATTAGTTGGAGTTTACTGGGTTACAATATGCACCACTTTATGATTGTGTGTCAGCATTTTGCATCATTTGTTTGCTACACACACACACACACACTTAATAGATTAATCTAAAGGAGAATGATTAATTTGTAGATTCGTGCGCAAGCAAATGTTCTGAAGAAGGCTGTGATAGAAGAGCAAGCACGTAACACAGATATCCGGAATCAACTGAAGGAGAAGGAAGTAGAGTTTCGTAGAGCTGAACAGGAGATCGATAGTCTATCATTTCGCAATCAGCAGTTGACGAAACGTATAACTGTACTACAAGAAGAGCTCGATAAAGCGCAAAACAAGCCTAAGAAAAGTAAGGGCAAAACATCGGAGAACAACACTCAGATTCCGGCACCACCGCCACCGAACAACATTTTAGACGAGGAATTCCAGAAGAAGATTGTCGAGAATGCTCAATTATTGTCTCAAATTAGTGACAAAGATAGTGAAATTGAAAGTTTGTACGATAGAATACAACAGTTGGAATGTAAGATCGATTATTGCGAAAAGTCTAAGGTAGAGTTAGAGTGCCAGTATCAAAGCAGTATAGACAAATTAGAAAGAGAGAGAAATGACTTGCAGAGAAAATTAAACGATAGACAAAAACAAGAGGAAACTGTGTCGTGGTCTAGTAATGAAGGCAGACGCGATGGTTTTGATTTTGATGCGAGAGGAATACTCTCGAATCATCGTCAGACAGAACCATCGCCATTTTCTTCACCATCTGCTTCGCGCAGATCGTCGAAGTCACTTGGGGAAGGAAAGCCGCAAAAGTCACAAGAAGAAAGCAATGAATTTCTTTATGTAAAATCATGTGACTTAGAGAAGGAAATCAATCATTGGAAAGCTCAATACCATATACTCAAGATAAAATATGATGAATTAGAACAAAGAAAGGTTGCAGCAACTCCGCAAATTGATAATGACACATTAAAACCTGTGGAAATAAGTAATATGGTATGTATTATTAATATATATTTCCACATTCCTTTTAAATCTATATTAATATTTTATTTTTTAACTTATATTATTTTTAAATTATATGTATCAATTTTTTTGTTGACAGATTGGAAAATTGAGCGCACCTTTTGCCATACCAGACGAGATCGAAGCTCGTGAATTAAAAATTAGAGATTATTTCCTAGAAGAAATTGAAAGATTAACAAATGAAAAACACATTCACCACATTAAAAACTTAGCTATGGCCGCTAATGTAATAAAACATACTTTAAATCTTATTTGTACGAACGTTTTTATATTTTTGTCATATGAGCACACATTTGTTTGTGTTTTAGAGCGAAGTTATGCATGCGCAGTTAGATACAAGCGAGTCAAAGAGAGAAAAGTGCGAAGCGACGCTGTTAGAGACACTTTCCAATTGTAATAGTATACAAAAAGAGAAGGACACGCAGGAGGTAAATTACAAGATACAGCTCAATACTATGAGCGAACATCTTGCCAATATGAATGAGAAACTTATCTTCCAAACGGAAGAGATACAACAACTGAAATTTGAACTAGCTAATAAGGTAAAGATGCACAGGATGTATATAAAGTCTCTACAGTGAGATTTTAAGAGGTAAAACTTAAATAAGAAATTGACCAGTCATAGTCGATTGTTCTTTTCACATTCAACTGAGATCAATTTCTTAATATACAATTTAAAACTTAAAAGTTTTATCTCTTAAAATCTCTTTGTAGACGCGCTGCTCATATAAGGAACAATCTCTTACACAACAGCATTTCATATCGAAGGTATAATTTTTTTCAGAATAGTAAAAAGGGGAAACAGAAGTGATCCAGGTCAGAATTGCAAAGAACAATCATTGACATTCCATTCAGTGGTATGGTTTAATCGAGATCATTAATAAATTTTATGTACATATTTAGCTCATATCTGAAAACCACTGATTCTGCGTATACTCGTATCTTTAGCTTGAAAAGCGTGCTAAAGAGCTCTCTAACTCAATGTTATGTTATTTATGAAATCAAAATAAAAACTCATCGAGACGACGTTCTTTTTATGAATGTTGTTTATGTATAAGTTTAACTCTTCTAATATTGTATATGTGCAACGATTATTCTTATTTGCTCATACTTATTTACAGCAATGTACCAACACTTCGTACAGAATAAATTTTACAGTCTAAATTCATCATTAATGAAAAAATGCATAAATCCTTTTTGGTATCACTTGTACGACAATTGTAGTTAGATCATTTATAGTTAAACTGACATCTACGATTGTAAATTATATAAACTGTTCTTTCTATATTAAAAGAGATATAAGAGATATGTACAGCTACTGTTTATAGTAGATGTTGTGATAAAATTAATGTATATTCGCCAAAGCAATTGTATGTATTGCCTTGCGCATACTAACTATAAATAAAGTATAATTAATCTTCGGTAAATTGTTTCGAAATTAATACTAAATTACAAGCCGGTACATATTACATTGAACAATGTAATAATATGTACATCCATCATCTATTCTATTTTAATAGCAAAGCTAGCACCGCAACTACATCCCTGTTCGGCTAAAGGATTGTTCGTTATTCTAAAGGCAGATCGTATTAATTCCGTATGGAATTCTATCGTTGATCCCTTCACGTATTCTAACGATGTCGAGTCTATTATTACTTTAGTACCATCCTTCTGAAATATTCTGTATAACATAAGAAATAAAAAGTTTCTATCAATCATGTACAGTTTGCAGAAAAATATATAGGTATTTGAGTACACACCTGTCATCTTCCTGTATATTTGGATCTAAATCAAATTTGTACTGAAATCCAGAGCAACCACCACCTTCTACAGTAATTCTCAAACATGTGCCATCGTCGGCTATTTCTTTTAAACGCTTTACACAGCTGTCACTGATAATCAAATCATCTGTAGATTTGACAGCAGCTTTCGTTGATACTCCTCGGGATGATGTAACCATGGATACATTGTACCATGGTGAGCTGTGGAAATATATATATATATATATATATATATAATATAAATCGTTTATATATATATATATACATGAATTTTTTTAATATTTTATGTATCCATCAATTGATGAGTTTTATGCCTTCAATCTCTTTTTAATGATACTTGATAAAGTTAAATGATTCTTACTTTTATTATTATTACATCATTCATATTGTTACATATTTTTTTATTTTTTAATATTTTTCGAGATATAATTACTCTAATAAAAATATATTTTTCTTTTACAATAAACATAAATATTTCTATCATGTAGAATTATATTGTTATGATTTATGATGATAAAGTGACATTGTTACTCATTATATATAAAATGACTATGTGTTAGATTTACAATGTGTTAAAAGAATATAAATTTTACTCACGCCAACAATCGAGAGAAATACCGATTTGCTGCAAAATTTGAAGACAAACCCCACATGACATGAGTTAATTTCGCCATGTTTCCCAGTCGATATCAGCTGTTGAGTAGATGAGTTCCAAGTTTTGCCGCTAAAGCGGGGAGCACAGACTTTTGCATAACGCATAATACATATACATAAAGAATTTGATTGGTCCATTGACTCATGCATAAGAAAATGGGCCAATGAAATTCCTTATGCACATGCTTTATGCATTATGCAAAAGCTGTGCTCCCCGCTTTACTTTAAGCTTTAAGGGTGCAGTTAGGCCTATCGCACATGAAATGCATAACTGTGCATAAGCATAACATAAGGCCGCTAGACCAATGAGCATCCAGCATAAAGACGCCATATTGATTAATATAAGATGCTCATTGGTCCAGCGGCATTATGTTATGCTTATGCACAGTTATGCATTTCAAGTGCGATAGGCCTAAAGCGGAGAGCACAGACTTTTGCATAACGCATAAACCATATACATAAAGAATTTGATTGGTCCATTGACTCATGCATAAGACAATGAACCAATCAAATTCTTTATGTATATGGTTTATGCGTTATGCAAAAGTCTGTGCCACACTCTCCGCTTTAGGCCTATAGCGGGGAGCACAGACTTTTGCATAACGCATAAAGCATGTGCATAAGGAATTTTATTGGTCCATTGACTCATGCATAAGAAAATGGGCCAATCAAATTCTTTATGTATATGGTTTATGCGTTATGCATAAGGAATTTCATTGGTCCATTTTCTTATGCATGAGTCAATCGACCAATCAAATTCTTTATGTATATGGTTTATGCGTTATGTAAAAGTGTGTGTTTCTAGCCTAAAACGGGGAGCACAGACTTTTGCATAACGCTTAAACCATATACATAAAGAATTTGATTGGTCCATTGACTCATGCATAAGAAAATGGACCAATGAAATTCCTTATGCACATGCTTTATGCGTTATGCAAAAGTCTGTGCTCCCCGCTTAACGCGGTAGAGAGACGCAGGGTCGTAATCGTAACATGGTTGTTTATTTTTCGCGCCATATTTCCAAACTCCGTCTTTGATCCGCTGTAGATCTTTATTTTGACTAGGCACGCCTTACAAGCGTGAATCGTTAGCCCGGATCCTCATACGGACAACAGCGCTTTGACACTGGACGCTGATTGGTGAAAAACGGGTTATGGGGTTAAATTTTACCCTCGCAACCGGTTTTTCACCAATCAGCGTTTGGTGTCAAAGCGCTGTTGCCCGTATGAGGATCCGGGCTTACTGTTGGACAATCTCCAATTCTATTCTAGTAAAACGCGATATTACGAGGTGGTATTTGGCGTAATCTAATTTTATATTTAAAATTGCTCTAAGTCCGATATTCATTCAAATATCGTATATAAATCTTCTTAAAAATACTTTTTTTAATATAAATTTTATTATAAATATGATTAGATATGGGATTACAAATATCGTACATGCAGTTCATAGTCAGTTTTTGCAGCAATCGGCGAAACAACATAAAAAAATAAGCCAACTAGAAAAAGTTCATGTCGCTCTATGAACATCTAATTTGTTCTTGTTACATCGTTTCGTTCATAGTATTAATAAACAAAACAGAAACTCAAATGGAAAGATAATTAAGACAAACAGGAAGCTCTAAGATATCTTTTTAATTACATAATTAATCAATGCAACGTCAAATTGACATATTTTGACTTTTTTGTTCTCCTTAAACTTCCGTAAATGAAAAAGAAAGGGAAAAAAGAAGACAGCGTTCTTTCCATAGTCGTACGGTATTGGCTGGCAATCATCGCGTGACGTTAATGTGAAAGAAACGACGATCGTGTGCCTTCCAACAAGCGACACAGTACAACACAGTGGTCATCTCATCCTTGTTTAACATTGGCGAACACCAAGGATGTACTGATACACTGTGATCACACCGTATCATCTGTGTCGCTTGTTGTAAGGCACCCGACGACGACGACGACGACGACGTGGGTGAAACGGAGTCTTGGAGGGTGGAGGAAAGGATGCGCGGTACGGCGCGGCGCGGCGACATGAGTAAATAATCGCAGATCAGCTGATGAGGCACAACACAACAACACAAGTCAGTAGGAGGACGAGGAGGAGGGTCCACAGAGTTTTCCCGCTGCTATTGCTACTGCTGCTTGCTGCTGCTGCTACTGTCATTGTCGCTGTCGCTGCTGTTGGTTATGGCGACGAGTAGCTCCGACGGCTCGTGCACCGCGCCCGCGGATTTCCAGCTTTCGTCCGAGCTAGAGGATGCGTCGAGTCGTTTGAGCATGAATCTGCTCAAGTGCCCATTGTGCCATAACAGCCATCGGATTTTTTACTGCCGCCAATGCGTCCAGAACGGAGATTTTATACATTCGAACACTATCTACTCCGAACGGTGCGTCTTATTTTTCTATTCTTCTCACCACACTCGCCACGCAATAGTCCGTTTTTTCTTCTTCTTTTTTTCTTACGTTCTTTAGATCTAACCAAGTCCAATGTAACGTAGAACGTGTTATTTCTGAGAATATGTTATAGCTGTCTTTGAGAGCGACGTCGCTTTAGAAACACACATTCTAGTTATAAGTATAATTACTGATGATGTTATTTAGATTCGCGGATAAACAAATGCGGCTGGTACGGCTGAAAGCTGCCAGAGCCCAGCTGGAGGAGAAGTGCATGAAGGCTCTGGAGAGACACAAGCAAAGAGATAAACTGGTACCATGATAAAAATAATAAATATTTGTTTTTTTGTTTTAAACACAAATCTTTATCCATTGACCTATTCTCTTCAGCTAAATTTTTTTTACATCATTTATTTTTTTTCCCCCTTCATATTGGAAAGAAAAAGAAAAAGGAAATACATATTCAACTGAAAAGAATAGAGATCTAATATAATAATAAAGATACTATTGTGTATGTTTATAGATACATACTTATTTTAATATGTGAATACAAAGAAGTTTTCTGTAGATAGTTGGTTTTTTAATATAATTAAAAGACTGTTATATAGAAAATAAAATTATTACGTAATTTAAACAAATATATATATATATAATCATGCAAAATCATCACAAGTTAATATTTATATTTACTTATACAATATGTTGATATTTTTTTTGTTAATATACATCATGTTTACTTAGGCCCGATTACACCAACGGGATTTCGATTTTAAGCGAGACTTAAACTGTCTGTGTCTCTGTCTCTCTTTCGGCTTTAATACAAGATAGATACAGTTTTAAGTCTTGCTTAAAATCAAGTAATGTTGGTGCAATCGAGACTTAGAGTAGTGTAATATTTTATATTTTAAATTCATGATTTCAGATTTGTGATATAAATACATGTAAAGAAAGAGTGAGATTACTGCAGTCCCTAGTAAATGAAACAAGGCAAAGTATCAGTAGAGGTAAGACCTAAAATTTGCAGCTAATATAGTACTCTCTCGTTCTTATTATCTCCTTTATTAATTACTTAATTGTTTACATGTAGGTAATCAACGTCTAAATGTTTTGAAAGATGTCAACTCTCAGTTGACTCTTCGAGTGCCACGGCACGAGGATAGGATAGAGAAATTACATCGATATGTTAATGGTTTGAAAGTAAAACAGGAGAAACAAAAGGAAGTTGTGGATAGAAAAAGGGAGCAACTAAAGAAAGTTATTAGAACTGCTGCCAAGCAGTTAATCCAGTACATTTTTCCTTTATCTAAGGTCCAACCAAACAGAAGGTATTAGATTTTTATCTAGAACATTTTTTTCAAATAGATATATTCTAAATATCAAATTTATATTATTGTAACTTCCATTATATTCAGTATGACTTTCTTGTATAACTTTGTATCTATTACTTAACTCTTTTTTAAACTCAATTCAAAGCTCTTTAATTCTGTTATTTAATTATAAAATGTATTGAATTTAAAATTGATATATATATATATAATACTATAATAATAAATAATATATATACAGGGGGGGGTGGTATATTTTATACTTTATTCTGACAAAAAATTTATTTAAGGAGATGCTCAAAATAATGCCCTTGGACTTCAATACATTTTTGGAAACGATATTTAAATGATTCTCTTGCCCTCTTTGTCATTTCTTATTTTTTGTATGGGGAATATTAAAAAACAGATATATAAATTTACACATAATGATAATAAGCATCTTGATCTAGCTTTGATCGTGATAGGCTTTGCTTTGTGCTTCCTTCCTTCTTGTTATTGTTTAACAATTGTACGGTCGTAAAAATGAGATTCTATTATTTGTTAAAAAACATTGTTTACAACGATGTACTAACTACACAGAACAACAAGAAAGTGCGTATTTTGGCTGCACGTGCAAGTATAAATTCAGAAATGACAGAGGGCAAGAGAATCATTTAAATATTGTCTCCAAAAATGCATTGAAGTCCAAGTACACACACACACACGCACGCACACACACACACACACACACAATACTCATTATTTAATTAAAAAAAATTTAATACTTATTACTAATTCATTTTTTGATACACAATTATGTAAAAATAATTAGAAACAAAAAAATAAATGGAACTGAATGAGTTAATAGTAAAAGCATATAGTGTGTGTGTATGCATATACATATATAAATATTCTTTTTAATAACTATTTCAATTTACTTTTTACATATATAAAAGTGATATAAAAATGTTAAAATTTATTCTCGAAGATTTCTAATGTTACGAATATTATAGTTTGTGCAGCAGCGAGGACAGCGACAGTGCCACCTCGGATATCCTTACTAGCGCATTAGCGGATGCATCAGGTACGTCATATGTACGAGGTAGATGGATTAACGAGAAAGAAAGTTCTCTGGAAATCCATCATTCTATTGTTGAACCAACGTTACCAGCGACAGGAGACTACAATGCTTATTCTCTTTGGGGTAATTATTATTCCCATATTAGTCCACAATATTATACCTAAGTATATATACATAAGTATAAACGTGTTACGTTTAGTTGCGGCAAATAAAGATGGAGTGCCAGGTGCGAATAAAGAAAACGCGATGCACAATCCTGCGTATAATATTAGTGCTGCTTTGACATACGCTACACAATTGGTTAATGTTCTTGCCTATTATGTTAATATAAAATTACCGTATAAACTTACTTGTGGGTATGTATTGAAAAAAAGTTATATATACTACTACTTACAAACATTCATGAAGTGATATTTTTTATCCATGTCTATTTTTGTTAGCTGTAGATAATGTAATGTACAAATACATGTTAATAACAAGTCGTGTGAGATATTTTCTTTATCTCATCCATGCTTTTTCCAGTGAATTTTGCGGGAATGAATTGTCGGACCAAAAATTTGCTAGAAAAGTGGCAAGGCTAAATAGTAATGTATTACATTTGTGTCTTACGCAAAATACCAAAATAGAAGTTTTAAATCCTATGCATACATTGCAAAACTTGATGCATTTGCTCAATACTGAAATTAGTGATCTCGGAAGGTAATTCGTAATAATTTTATTAATTTTAACAGATTAGAATTAAATTCGTAAATTTATAATTACATACCTATTATCGTATATTATAGAATTGGACCAATGGAAGTTGATCCGTCTGTAACAGCACAACTTCACAATCAGTTAGTTCCCGATTTGGAAAATAGTGATGATTCAGCTTCGGATGAAGAAGACTTGTATTGGGGATGGGAAGCTGTAAGTCATACTTCTGTAAGTTATGTACGGTTCCGAAAACAAATTTTGAGCAATAGGAACATGCTTGATGAATGCTGGTATTCATGGCGCTATATATATATCTATATATATATATATATATGTGTGTGTGTGTGTATGCACAGGTACCAAGTATCGCTTGTCCTGAAATGGCAGTACCTTCTTCGGCGATGATTAGTCAACAATCTTCTAGTATGCAAGTACATCAGAGTGTCGCTGGTGGTTTGGTAACAAGTGCAGCAGCTAGTATCGCCTCGATTTGGCGAGGTTGGACTAATAAGTAATTTTTTTCTTTTGATCAATAAGTTTTTTCAAATCAAAGGACAGAAACTTTGGAGAGGTGCTTTGAAGTAAAAAAATATTTATATAACAATATTTATATATTGTGGAGGAAGGCATGGACGTGATTTTGAAATCAATATGTAAATATGTAACTTTCTTAACTTACGCGTAACATTCAAAGTAGTTCAAATATGCTGTGACAGAGATTGCATTAGATCTGATATCCAACTTAGCTCGAATTTAAAGTAATTAGAAAAGGATTAAACTGGCTGTTTAATAAATTTACAGACATTTTATATTTCGATTGCACCATGAAAATAGATTAGATTGTGATATATTAAGATGTGTACTAATGGTCTACAAAATACAGATGTATGTTAATTAGCACAGATGTATATTGATATAGAATTTGTTATGGTAGAACATATAAATGTGCAATGACTGCCTTTTTTATGCTCATCGCATTTTATGCGATTATGTATCTATACAAATGAGATATGCTTCCCTCTTAAATATGTCATTAATATATTTTATATTGCAGAATTCACACTTGATGTAAAATCAGCATTAAGATCTGATCAAATTGTATAAAAATTTTTGGATTTACCATATCTTGGAATTGTATGGTTGTATGTAAATTTTTGCTATTTTTTGTTTGGCAACAAACTTTGATATGCTTTTGTTGCTAAATACTAATATTGAATAAATTAATTTATTTCGTATGCTAAATGAATCCTAAAATGGTAAACTTGGAGAAGATATGTACATTATGTTATTTATTATACAGTCTGTTCCACAAGAACGAACAGTTCCGCATTTCATCAATAAATGTTAAGTTTAGTTTTTCCGATTCTCTGAACAGTTCAGAAGAATGCTTTGAGGTTATATGGATAGTATGACTTGTTTTGTCTGTAACAGAGCCAAATAAACACTATGGGTTTCGACACAAGTATCGTTCTATCTTTCTTGACTTGATTTAGAGATTGACAAAGATAGAACGACACTTGTTTCATCAAATGGAAAGCACCCAATGAGTACTATGTATGTAAGTCGTTTTAAAGCAATGTTTCTTCGTACACATCCGAAAGGACTGAGAATGTTGTATGCAGCTACTGGCCGCTACATGACAAAGTCATAAGGATTCGGTAGGAAGTTGAAACGTTATAACGAAACAAAAACTGTCAACGATCCAGAACGTGGCACCCAACGCTCAATGACGAAAAAGGATGATAAAGCTATCATTAAGATATATTGAAAAGAATCCTGGGTGTTCGAAGAATATTTTATTGAAAAAGGGTGTAGAAGCAAACCTTAATATTATTAGACAGTGATAGCTTGATTCTGAATACGGCTGGCGGTCCACAAAGACACAACCCGTACGCTCTTGTGAAACAGACTACTATATGAAAGAGTATTGTGTAACATCACATAGATTTTTTATTACATAACATAAAAATAGAATTTATTCAACACTTTATACTTAATAGTATAAGAGAAAATTATTGTAAAGTGCTGTTACATTACATTAGTAAATTACATTAGCTGATTTGATTATATTAAGTATATTAAAATGAAAGCATTGATAAATTAGTATTGTAGTCATTGTAGAATATATGATCATCCATAAGAAACTAGCACATTTCTACAAAATGGTTAATAATTTGGTTTTTTCCAGTTAAATGTTTAGTCAATCTATAATAATCTATAATAATTTTATTTTTGTACAGTGTATGAACGTCATAGTTTTTAAATTAAGAAATATTGATTTATCCTTGGTCATTCGATTTCTTGACCAGAGTAAAGGTAGTTAATAATTTGTTGACAATTATGAAGTCAACGTAAACGTAGACACAATATATTTCGTAATAATATGATGAAAATACTTTCTGTGAAACATTTATCATCAGACAATTCTTATAAATTGAATCTTGTTTAGACAGTGTAAGAATAAAAAACACGAAAAAAGATGTTATGGATAGACAAAGACTAATTCATCATTACTGCATAATTTTCTTATGTATATATCCAATTTTCTGAATAATGTCACATCGTTTTATGAGCATATGATAGATTGGAAAACAAAATTTCACAAATAGAAAAACTACAATATTGAAATGTTAACAAACATAAATTTATCTACATATAATTTAGCACTGTTTCGAATAATACAATATATATGTGTGTGTGTGTGTGTGTGTGTGTGTGTGTGTGTGTGTGTGTGTGTGTGTGTGTGTGTGTGTGTTGTGCGGGGGGCGCTCGCGTAATCTGGAGACACGGTAGTGTCTCGGCGCTAAGCCAGGCGCAGCGACACTGCCGTTCTTTACGCGAATCTGAGAATTTCGGGGGATTGAGATGATTAGATCTCAGTAACGGCTGAATTATTTTGACGTGATTACTGTAAGTTAAGCATTAAAAACCAGACGTTACCAGTACATTTGAAATTAGATATTTAAGTTGGACTATCATAACAAGTTTGGATCACAAAGCGCAACAATTTAAATCACATTTTTGGAAATGTACAACAATAAAATACATGAAATAGCATAAGTATTTCATACATATGTGGGTATGCGTGGATGGACGATATACATTTTTATCTTACTATAAAATAGCTATGTTTTATCTGAACAAAGATGCATTGTGATAGCTCAAATAAACTGTTTTTTATTGTTATTACTGTATATTTAAGTAATATCAATAAGAAAAATCGCATACTTTTTAAATATCAACATGTCCATACCATTTTAGATCTTTTGTATCATCTTCAATATTTTGGAATAAACATGTAAAAATAATCTTTGTAGCTACATACATATATATATATATATATATATATATATATATATATATTATTGAACGAGATATCTAAATGAGCTAGTACAGGCAGTTCCAAAAAGTAGGAGTTGCAGATAAGTAAGTCTTATGTAATAGGAAAAGGGATATAAGAGCATCGGTTCCTATTTTTATATAAAAAACAAAGAGTTTATTTTACTTACGATCAAATAAAATTGTTTTAATTGCACAGAAGTGTAACGCAAGTAAATATAAAAAAAATTAACTGTGCTTTGAAGATCTTATTATGCATACAATCATATAACGATTTTAAGTGAAGAATACATCAATTTCTACAATTACAGAATATATATTGTGTGAATTATGCTACGTTCAATTTCCCATTAAAATAAACTATATATAATTTTACATATATCAATCCAAAGAAATATATAAGTATGTAAATGTATTTAATTCTAGAATAGCTTTTTTAAAGTTAGCAATATATTAGGTTTCTAATTTACTAATCAAGAGTAGCCTTACAATAATTTAACATTTTTACATAATTATATCAGTTATTTATGTAGCATAATTTTATTTCAAAGTTATAATTATCTCTACTAAGAGGTTGATAAAATTTTATTTAAAAATACATATCGTATGAAGATGTATAATTCAATGTATAAAAGGAGTAAAAAATGTATGTGAGATATTAAAAGAATTCTCCCAATTTTTCTCCGTTTTACCTTTAGTTGAAAAAAATGCTTTGTACGTGTTTCTTTATCACGCGTAAGTGTAACGATTTAAAAAAAGAAACTGACATTAATAATCAATTACCACTCTGCACAGTCTCTGCTCATGTAGTACTCCATAATGACTCTTGATGATAGATATCTCATTTTCACCACTTTTGGATTGGCCAGTCTATTGCAATTTCGCATGTATGAAATTGTATACGTAATTGCATACATTAACTGCTCTGTGAATTCTGTAAGCATATCATTATAAAGTACTTTAACTTTTGCACATACATCTTTTCCTGGAGATTTAACAGTCACGAGTATACATTATATTGTTTCTTGCAAATATATAATTTTTTATTAAATATTTTTTAATTATTGACAAATTACCATATAGATATGCAAATTTTTATATTTTATATTTCTTACAAATAAATGTAATTGTGTACAGTTTTATGTTAAATATTAAAAATTGTACATATTTTCTTGTCTATAAGACAGTGTAAGAAAATATAACAATATTACACGAACGATATTATATGATAAATATTTATATTTAAGCTTCTTAAATTTTTCCGATTTGGAACTTGACTTCAAAATGATTAATCTAATACTTTTTGATTGTCTTGAGTATTGCATTTATATATAATATATTTTTACAAATATATGAAGTTTTAATCAATAATTCCAGAACTTGTTATATTACTGATACATAAATGTATTAACAATACCACTCTTTTCCCCCCCCCCCCCCCATGCATTAGAATATCATCAATGATGTGACTAATTAAAACATGACAATATCATTAATTGATCATCTTGAAATATTAATATATAATATAATACAAAAATTAATTTCTAATTATAAGCACATCAAGTATCGTGAAAATATCAGAAAAAAATAATAAATGAAACACTGTACGTTAAATTTCAGATATAGTTGAAAGACACATATAAGAAAATAAAATCTAATCAGATATCTATCTAAAAAAAAATAATTCATTGTGTCCCTTTTCCACTTTTAAAAATAATATTCAAATATTAAATATTCTTAAATAGAAAATATAACTCAAGTTCTATTTTCTTAATATACTATTTTGCAGTTCTCTGCGAATAAATAAAATATCGCTTTTTTTTTATAAGCTAATAATACTGAGATAATACACGTGTTCATTTCAATCACGCAGAAAAAAACACTACATAATTATAAAGTGGTATTGTCTAAAGATAAATATCAGAATATTAAATATAGACTTCTGAAAATATATTACAAAGTATTAGACATCGGATATTTATTTATCAACTCATTATTGAGAATATCAATAGCATATTTCTAGGGAAAACGTATTCACTAAATAAGAAAAAACGTATATATAATATCAATACAAAAAAATATATTGAACTTTTTATCGAATTTTATATTAGAAATTCTGATCACTTCGTTCTTTACGCTCTAATTATCTTTACCTTCTTATTTGTGAGAGTAATAATTGATAACTTTATCATGTTTACTGATGCTCTGTACGGATGTTTTGTAATTAATCACAATGATATGGTTATAACACAATTTTTCATTGTAAAAAATCAGTTTCATGAATATTTGCGTATATCAGGCATTCGTCCGTTTGTGCAACAGACGACTGATTGTCAGTTCACCATGTTATCCGATCTCTTTTTTTCTATAAAAGAAACCACATTATTTAGGATGGAGCAATTAAAATAAAATAATCCAAGTTTGTAGTGGTAACGATGTATACCTAATGAGGTATTTTATATTTAATCAATAGCTTGGAAATAGGTAAAATGTTAGAAATCATATATACGCTTATTTATAACGAAAAACGAAAGACTTGTTCCCATCAAATCATTTTAATTATGCGTATTATGTACAATAAACATAGACAAGTATTGTACAATCATGTCGACGACTCTACACACGACAATAATAATATATCTAAAATAGTAGCGTTATACCGCATTTGAAACGCCAAAATTTTGCAGTATACGACAGGCGCTTATTGTAAGATCTTAACTTCCTTTTTTGTTTTCTTAACTCTGTGTCTGTATATTTTAAACGCCGCATAAAAATGTGTGTGTTAATTCTAAAGCTTCCATTTTAAAAACAACAATACACATGATTTCAATCTTTTATGACTTTCTCTTACTAATTAAATTAGAAAAAAGAAGGTTAAATAGAGGCTGTATCAAAATTTTAACAGCTGTTATTAAGCTTGGTCAGTGGGGATTGGTATGTCCCTTGGCAGACTTGTGCTCTGGCTTAACAGAAGAATAAAGAAAGGCTAAAGACTTCACAAGAAGAATGAAAAATAATTGTAATAAATCAGTGTCGTGGTACACAACATTCTTTCCAAATTCATTAAGAAAGAATTCCCAAGTAAAATTAAACAAACGTTTAAGATAATTTCTCACTATAAAAACACATTGTACAATAATGATTTAATTTATCAGGAAAAATATATATGATACAGATATTAAAAAAGAAAGGATCTCTTAATGGATCCCGTAGTATTCGTGAAGCATTAATAGAATTCGTGCATATTATGAGCAATCTGTTTACATTTGATGTTAATTTCTGCAAAAATTTTAAAAGTTCAACGATCGTGTAAACATAGTTATAATTTAAAATAATTGCAATAATAGGATATATACGATGTTATAACAGTTTTCCAACGATAAAATTAATGATAAGTGTTTTTACAGTCCTTAATTAATAAATACATAATTAATTAATAAAAATTGTGAATGACATTTCAAACAATTACAAGATCACAAAAGAAATAAATGCAGTATCATAGCTGTCCCATCCCTACAATTATGCCAATTGAACTTAATTGACATATAATGTTATATAACAGTGACATTAATAAAATACTACTTTTTTGTTTTTATGAAAACATATTTACACAATTTTTTCTTCAATAGTCCTATTCTGTAAAATATACACATAATATTGAAATGTTAAAAAAGAATATAAATAGAAACATTTGAAAAAATTCTCATATAATTGCTTCTCTTGCAAATTTCATGAAATGTTTGGCTCAATGTGTGTATACACAATATGGATTATATTCAATATGCAGAATAAGACTATATGTAAAAAAAATTACTACAGAAAGATGCTAATCCATCCATGTTAAAATTCTAATTCAAATTTTCATGAAATAAGTAGCTTACATTAACGATGTAAATGATTAGTATGTTCGTAAATTTTACTATCAAATTAAGATTATATATTATGCCATCAAATATTTAATTTTTCCAACTCTATAAACTGTTTGCAATACGAGTTGAAAACACATACCATTAATATGGGCGTTATATCATTGTCACTAGATGAGGCACGGAAAGCTCAGCAAAAAGAGATATTTCAGCTATATCAAACTATTTTTATAAATCCGTAGTCTAGATACACGCTATATGTTTCTAACTAGACTTCAATCACTTCAAGAAATTATAAAGCTTCGCGTATATCTGTAATGTTTATTCTGTAATTCGCAATCATGTGAAAATCTAATACTTTGTATAGTTTTTGTTAATCAAATTAAAAAATGATATTAATGTGATTAATAGGTCGTGAAAATTCATGAGATTTTCATATGGTGAGCCACTCCGCTAAATAATCCAAGTTGCGTTATTTCTATTTTTTTTAGAAAGATCTTGCTCAGATTCAACAATGATGATTATATTATATATAATTATGTCAGCTCCGCGCATCTTATTGTAATATTATTTGTCTAGAAAAATCGCTAAATCTTATGAATTTTTGCGTCCTACTGATCAGATTTGAAAGAAAAAATTTGAAGTACCAGCGAAATATATCAGTATCTTCACATTTCCATTTAATGAGACATCGTTAGTAAAAATAGAGGGTTAATTCGTTCTCTGTGTATAAGATTTATATATTTATATATTTCTAATATATTACTTTAAAAAAAAACGGGTAAAAGATTGAGTGTTAACTTTGTTAGTTTCAGGACATTTCTTTTTATAACCAGAAACGGTAATATACTTTGGTAGACGTATACTTTATCGTGTGCACGAGGATGGCCTTGACGTATAGTTTCCGCTTTTTCCAGAAGGTGTTTTTATATGCGTGGAAAATGATTATAAAAGTCGAAGGATTAATGTTTGATATGCGTTATTCCACTATTTATAAAGCTAATTTATTGTATTTATACATGTATGTGTTAGTAGTAAATGTTTTTTACTCTATCAACTCACTGTTGATTGAATTTGTATACAATGTATTTCAATTACAAATTCAATAATATATTTATTGTATATAATATATTTCTGAATATACATTAAATACAACAGTTTAATCTATTATGATTGTGAGTAGCCAAATACAAAATTTATGAAGTAACATTATAGGAAACTAAACTCAAGGCCTCCTTGCCAAGTGTGTTATAAGTTTTCATTTTTAAAATTACTTGAAAAAAATATCAGTACACTGTTTATCAGACAACTCTTCAGTGTATGTGTGTGTGTATATACAGGACTGATAATTTTAAAACTAAATAATCCGTTTTTTTTCCTACTCTTCTCATATAAAAAGTTTCTGTGTTCTACAAAGTATGACTGACTGATAATTCCATAAACATCGGAACTGATTATAAATGAAGAGTAAGAAATATCGATCATAGAAGTAGATATATATTCTGAGCGCTAATTTTTGTCCTAGATCTACAAAAATATATAATTATATATCGCAATATTATGCATTTTTTATCAACATGGCAAGAGGGCATGACAGAAATACTCTACTAAATTCTTATTAAATTTCATGAAAATCTCGCTTCATGTATCACGAATGTATTGTAATACAGAAATTTTTGTACAGTTCTGAGAAAAATACATTTTTGATAAAGATAACATTAAATTCTGTTTGCGTGTGAAAGAGCTACGCAAGCGGTATAAAATGTATAATAATGTTAGTCTATTGTGCGAATTTCATAGTAATTAAATATTTAAGGATACCATTCTTTTTTAAAGTACTTCCAAATAAATGCATACATAATAACATATTATGTTCTCTACATTTTTTTTACATATTTATATTATATTAAAACTTACACCTTGATTAATTTTCATATTATCTAGTTTTCCAATTTTATTCTTGTACATCTAATTTTTAGTTTAACATCTGTTCTGTTTAACCCTCTGCTTATAATATAACTGTAATATAAACAATTTTTATTCCCCAAAATGAAAAAGAAATTTATAAAATCCAACAATATGTGATAATTATAAAAAATTATTAAATGGTAAAAAAGTCAAAGATTAATTGATATTATTTTTAAAGTAGATAACACAATTTTTACATTTTCTCCTGAAATATGCCATCAATCATAAAAATATTTTCTTATATTTGTATGTTAAGTGTTTGTTCGATTTTCTCATATTCTAAATAAAATATTATTCAAAACGATAGAAGTGCGTATTAAAATTAAAAGTAAATATTTATATAATTATCCTTAGTCCCTTTGTAATTGATATTTCACTTGTACTATTATTCCATTAAAATTATTAACTGGCTTAATCTGCAAATTAATAATTTGCACAAAATAGTGGAACTTAGTTAAGTATGTTCACTATCGATACAGCACTTAAGTTTCAGCCATGTTTCTAAAATAGATTTTTCGAGAGAAATATATATTCCTTAATAGATACATAACCCCGGATAATATTTCAATGGCTGTTGCGATTACTAAAGTTACGATGGATAAGAAAACTTTTGTATAGCTTGAGTTTTTAAACAAATAGTATAGATAAATGGATATAAACACTTACAAAAGTACATAATGTTTAATTAATTTACGCACTAATTTACGTTGCCAACCGTGGGTCACTTTGTAGAGATCTACTAATTATATGCTTTATGAAATTTTCGAAACTTAGTTCTCTTAAGACTTCAGTTATAGTACATCGTAATTTTTCTTTAACATTGATAGGATTTCCTTACATTAGAGATTACTATTCAAATAAATGTGTCCACGGTAAATTCTGCATCTTTATATGAATATGGAACATGTCTTATTATTATATAATTGTACATCTGATGCGGTTTTGAAAACGATCGAGGGTTAGTTATGTCAAAGGGATGTATCCAACACTTACAGAATGCGCTTTGCTGGGACACATTTCTCGAAACATTTTCTCGATAAATGGTTGCCTGAAAGAAAAAGAAATACAAAATAATCATTGTACATTATGAAATTTTCGAGAATGAATACTAATAATTCAGGTACATTTAGAGAAGGTCAAGTATAAAATTATTGGGCTCTCACGACAGAAATCTAATTATATTCTGGAATCTAGCCAAATTTGTAGAAGACTGTCGATTTGGTTGTTTTTGGTAGTAGCAACGCTAACATTACCGTGATCTCACTATGAAAATCGAAAAAAGGTAAATTCTCAATTTCTATTAATAAATATAACACTAAAAATTAAATTTCATATTATTTTTAAAATAATTATGTACGTATGCACATATACATATTACGTAAGTACAAGTCATCTTTCCTAAATTAAAATTATGTAATATTCCACTGTGCAAAAACTAACCCTTTTAACAATGATTGACAATAAAACAAAAAATATTAAAAAAATTTAAGTCTTTTTACTAAGAACTTTAATACAGTTTAATAGTATGATTTGTTCACGTTTTCAATAGAATATTTATTTTGTAGCTGTCAAAAGTGTTCTTCACTAATTGTAAGATAGAAGTATTCTTTTAGATCAAAAAGTAAATAATCCAATCAGCGCAAAGAAAACTTCTAAAAAGTTATAAACTAAACATTCCGCTAAAAATGGCCTATTATTTTTACGATTTAAAATCGTGTTTTAATGTTGCTAAACTTACTTAGCGTGAAGACCACCACCAGGAGGCAGATAAGGAAAATCTTGATCGCTTCCTCTAAGAAGCTCCAGCATTTTTAGATAGTCAAATTCACTCTTGTCCTCCTCTTGGGCGACTATTTCTACAAATATAGAAGACAAATATTAAAATAACTTACATATATTCATCGTTGAAAAGTTATTCAACTTATATTAGATATCAATAATATTTATAAATAATAGCTAATTAGGTTTTTTTAGATTATGTGCAATTCTAAATGCAACTATTCAAACATATGCTTAACAAAATGTGCTTGATATGTATGATTCAATATTATCAAATTTATAATTCAAATTTTCCATAGACATAGCAATAGAAATTATCTGTTTCCTCGAACTGTTATTTTATACATTCATGTGTAATTCTAAGTGTACATTTTTCCATATGTATTCCTCTTTATTAATAATAAATAAGGATAAAAACGTGATGATCTATTGGAAAAATATAAACTATGCTTGTACATCCTAATTTATAATATAATAATACAATGGATTTTTACATGCATTTTTTCTCAAGATGCTTGCGAGAATATAATTAGCAAATGTAGAATAATTAACAGGTACCGAAACACACACGCACACGCATATACAACACAATTGTGTACATGCATCTACTTAGGACTGGAAGAGTAGATTGTACATTACATTTCTTATGGAAACATACTCTTGTCTTAAGTAGATACATTTTTAGTCAAGCTTTCAATATATAATGCAAATTGTCCACCTCTGGAATTGTGTATCCTTTGGATATTATAGAAAAAAAAGAAAAGAAAAAAAATCTGCTGCAATGTTCCTCCATAAGAAATGCATTGCTATTAAAGTTGATATCAAAAGTAGATAACAGATAATGTTAGATTCTCGTAAGAAAAATTGCACCTACCTTATGACACGGTTTAGATGAACTTTAAAAGAGGAACAAACATAAACAAGAGAAATGATTTCTACTTAAAGATTGAACTTTAGGTTAATTTATCAACTCCAAGGGTGGAACATATCTTTCAGCAACAATTTTGCATAATATTTATTGATAACTTTTGTCATTACATGACGAAATAATGTGTACTAATTTTATGATATTACAGACTAATTTTTCTTTCTCTTTCATCTTTAAGAAAGTGATATAAAATATTGATTTGATACATGATTATTTGATCACAAATAGGGCGTAGAAACCTTTGTAAGGTTTCATGCTGAGTCTTTCTAAATGGACGATATATTCACATATACTTTCTTTCAATTATAATTTAATAAAAATCAATTTAATCATTTTTCAATTCTAGTATTATCAGAAAAAATAAGTATTTTCAATCAAATAAAATAACCGTAAAAATTTAAAAACTTAATCCCATTAATAAATATAATATTGATGCAATATTTTTTAATTAATCATGTATGGAATAGACGAAAATTACTATAAAATATTTTTTGGCGGAATAATATTATAAATATATATATATTTTTTTTTATTATAAGTGGGTTGTATTTTTTATACTTCTGTATTACTACACATTAAGCATTGTACGTATTTTTAAAGCTTTGCAATTTTTACGCATTTTTATATAACAATATTAATATTTAAGAAACAACCATAGTATTTATATTACAATATTTAATTTTCTTAATAACAGTCCTCTCATATCTTTAACACATAACACGAATTAGTATCTTTGAAATGTGTTACATTAGTCGGGTATACAGTTTTAATAGAACATAAGATCTGAGGAAATAATGATATATTTTAGTATATGAATTATTGCATCTGTTTTTATGTATCATACGCGTCATATACATTTTGGATTTTATATGAAAATTGTTAAGCTGTGTGTATCGAGCTCTCAGAAAGTTTTGAGAAATAACAGATGCAATGTGATAGAATTCATTGAAGTGAAACAAATATGCGCTTTTGCACACACAGGACGACGTAAGACATCAATCAACGATTTGTAAACGTTTTTCGTATGATAGATATACCGTATAAGACATCAACTTTATTAATCACAAAGTGCAACGTTAAGAAGTGGGACTCACATTGTGTAGTTATTATTACACATAATTTGTACAATTGATTGTGCAAGCTTCAACATTTACATTTCTTTTCAAATCGCAATTAAAGTTAATTTTAAAGAATTTTTAATTGTTATTATTGCTGTTCACACACATTAAACACTGGAAAACATTTTTATCACTTTTGCAAGATTGCTTTACGTGTAATGACTAGTTATATCTTGTGGCACATGTGATATGTAGATTGTAAATACAAGATTATTCTGAAAATAAAACTCTCGATCTTTCAAACTAGATTAGATTACATCTATGTGACATCGAAGATATTGCTGTTTCAAATTTTTTTATCATTTATCTATTATATTATTATTCTTTATAATTTTTAGAATAGTACACATCACCTCTAATGACGCAATAATAAATCAGTTTATCAACGATAACATTTTTCTAACATTATAATACTTTTTCTACTAAACTTTTAATTGTCTAATACACATCACTTATAATCATATGCAAACTATTGCAAACTATTACGCTATCTGGAGTCATTTATTCTACCATTTTTCTATCATTATGATTGGTCTCTATTTTTCTTTCATTGAGCTGCAGTATTCGCAGTATTATAAATATCCGAGAATAAAAGTACTTATATTGCTAAAAATAGATGTTTCATATATCAACTTTCATAATATTTTTACTGAAGAATATTTTTTATATACTTTGGCACTAATCAAATTCTTCACAATTGTGCAAAATTCCATTGAATATGCACCAGGAAGAATTTGTCATTACATCTATTTTATATCAACAAACATTAATTTATTATGTCACTTTCGTGTATGTGGCATCGTGATCTTGAATTAATGCAACAACATAAAGAATATAATGAATTAAAGTATGGAAAAGTTAAAGAACCTTTAATTTTCCTTGCAATAGCCATTTCCAACTCGGCCTCCTGCCTCTGTGCTTCAGGATTTGGTTTTGGTGCAGCCGGAAACGTTACCAGGACTATACTCATATTATCTCTGCTACCCTGTAACGAAATTTTAGATTGCTCTGAATACATTCTTGTATTAAAAAAAAAAAAACATCAATAAACATCAAAAATTTGCAGTTATTCCATACGACTGTAGATATAAAGAAAAATTAAGAATGTAACTCAATGTAATGCATAATATAAATTGAAATAAAGAAAATTTATATTATTTTACAAACTAAAAATAATTTTTAAAGTAATTTTACCATTTGCTTTATATCTTGAAAAAAAATTAATATATTACTTTGGTACAATCACATTACTTTTAAAACAATAATATACATAAGTATATAGTATAAAATATATACAATTAAATACCTTATAAAGACAAGTGTCTACAACCAGATTGGTAACTGCTTCTAAATCATCCGTTAGCTGCAGCCTTGAATGTATAAAATTACATAAATCTTCGTTGTTCATTACATCCCAAATGCCATCACATGCTAAAACTAGAAACTCGTCGTGTTCATCGTCCCTGTCTAGCATGAATATTTCTGGTTCTGGCGACACTAACTGCTCACAAGGGCCTCGATCTTTCAGATTTTTGTACTCGTAATCACCCAATGCTCGAGAAACCGCCAGAGATCCGTTAACTCTTTGGATCATTACGCTACCACCTGCATTCTGAATTCTCTCCTTTTCAGCGGGTAAAACGGGTTTGTGATCCCGCGTCGAGAAGACTGGTAATCCAGATCTGCAGAGTACCGCCCGGGAATCGCCGCAATTGGCGATATAAATATTTTTGGGCGATATAAATGCACATACTGCCGTGGAGCCGGACTTGTCCGTGCCTGCGCTCATCTGTGGCAAATCCCTCATCTCGTCGTCGAGTCTGAGAAATCCAGAATGGATCCCTTTGATAACATCCTCGGCCTTAAACTCCTGCGTTTGCATTATACATTCTAGTAAGTGTTCTGCACTGTGTGCTGACACCAATGCACCTGCATGGCCATCGAACACTGCAAAATAGCTCCAATCTGAGAGACCACCATCCAAGCAGGGAATTGCTCGATGAGCGTCTTCCATCTCCATTCGCCATCCTTGCATACTGGCAACACCGTACCGCAAGCCATTGCCGGTGCCATGCTCATTGCACTTCTCTGTCTTCGGAGTATCCAAAAACGCCCCCATATTACTCGTCGAATATTTATTGTACCAGCTGAGTAATTTGTTCCTCGTTCTATTATTTGATTAGCATCATTCTTACGGATCCTCAAAATGGCACTTCTTTCACTCTTACCTAAAATCAAAAGCTGCACTATATTACAACAGAAATTATCGAAACATACACTGTATTTCCAATTATGCGTCTGAATTATCAGAGCGAACAGACTCTAGGAGGGCGTTTTGCAGCAATCCAACGGAATTCGACCGTCGATCGTTTGACATTGTGACGACAATGTGTCGTTAACGTGGGTCGAGGAAAATACTCGGCGTATACACGAGAGTTCAAATGACAAAGGCCGAGGTGAGACGACCGGATAGGACGATCCGCCGGTAGTCGAAGTTCGGCGTTTCGTTGCGGCGTTTCGGAAGCGGCGCGCGTTATCACCCGGCGCGAGTAAATCCATTGCTTACGCCACGCGCGAGGGAACGATATACGCCACGGAGTTCACGTAAGCACAGTGCCTTTCTGCGCGATCGGCGATATCGTCCCGCGCGGCGGATAATTCAGGCGGCGGTTGGCCCGCGCGCTCGCGTTTCCCGATGACGACGACGACGACGACGATGACGACGACGATGATAACGACGAGGGTGACGCGCGCGCGAGGAAGCTCTTATTTGGCAGCGGCGAATTTTCGCGACTAAAATAGTTTGCTCGCTCACCCGCAGGCACGCACGCACGCACGGCTCCTGCTCGCGCCGAGCGTACAAACGTAGTTATTGGAACTTACGTCGGCGGACCGTGACCGAGGATCGTCGTCATTTCAGGTACTAAACGGGTAGCGTGCTCCAACAAACTGCCGTTGCTGTCGCCGCCGCCGCCGCCGCCACACCGCCGTCGTCGCCGTTGCCACTAATGCCACTGCGTGTGCTCTCGCACAGCTAATGCGTTCGCATCGTGTCTTCTTCTCGAGATAGCACGCGAATTTCTCACCGTCCTCGCCACCAACGTACCGCGTTCGTCTCCTGCTCTCGCTGATCGTGCCTGGCTGGCTGGCCTCAGGCCTGGCGGCTCGTGCCCGTGCACACACAGAGAAACAACGAAATCGACTCGCATGAATGGCGGATACACACGGCGGCCGGCGTGGCGCGCATGCGCCGGTTTATTAATAGCGGCTCGCGTCCTGTCGTCATCGCCCGCCAATCGGCGCCGCGCAATTTCCGTTCGCGCCCATCTCGTTTTATAGGACCATCGCGCGGGGTAAAATTAACTCGCTCTCGTTCCCTCTCTCTCTTCTCTTTGTTTATCTCCCCCCCCCCCTCTCTCTCTCTCTCTATATATATATATATATCTTTTTCGCGCGCGAGCGCGCGCGCAAGACCCTAGAATTAACTCGGCGACGTGTCGCGCGAATAACAGCGTGCGCGATTTCGTGTGGCCGATAGATCTCGCGCATTCACCGATAATTACTTGCGACGTTAATTGGTTGTCGGCGTCACGCGACCGACTCGACTTGACCCCCCCCCGGCGTGGTCAATTCGGCGGATTCGCCGGCGCGGCGGATCATGCGAAGCGTCCGTCCCGGCGTATATATTTGTACATCAAGATCGGTTTATTGATCGGTTTTAATAGCCGATGGGAATTCCGCTACGGCGAGAACGTCAACGGGTCATTGGATTACGCGTTATTACGCCCAGATGCGCCCCATTAATCCGCGTTTGAGCGCGGCTGCCTCGCTTGTGTATATTCTATCTATAAGCACGTACCGCGCGCCGCCCGATTCAGGCGCGATCGGCTCTCATTGATCCTCTAGCGCGCGCAACTTCGGGCCGTTCCCGCGCGAGAGCGAGGATGCACACGCGACGCGTGTACATGCACCCGAGAGGCACGGTGTGTGTATCACCTCTATCGCTCGACCCAGTTTCGAATAATTGTGAGAAAGTGGAACGTAAACGGCAGCCGTTCGAATCCACGCGATTCAGAAGTTTCCCCCGCGCGACGCATGCGCGAACGGACGTTCCTTTCTTTTTGTTCCATTTTTACCTTTTATCAATATAAATTAAACTTGCTTTTTAACGTTTTTAAAAAATCTTCTTTTAGTTTTATAAGTATTAAACTAAGATGAGAAGTAAACCGATGCTCCTTCGGAGCTGAAATTTATAACAGTTATTGAGATGTTGGAGCTGTACGAGATCCATTTATATATATATATAATTTGTGACTGTAAAGGCACTCTATTTACTTTCAAGAAAAACGATATATAACTCGAATAAAAAGTTTATTTTAATAACAATAATCCAAATTTGTAGATGTAACATAAATCGAGAGGGTTCAACAGATAATTCTTAGAAGATAAAAATAAATTAAATTGAAATTAAAATTAATCTATATATACTGGTAGACACGAATACTAATCACTGTTAAGTTTATGATTAATCGAGGTTTGATCAAAGTCAAAGGTATTTTTAGCGTTTTACGTTGCAGTCCCACCATGCTGCTGAGAAAAGCGTTTACGTTTATCCTATGACTGGGAAAGGTTGAAAATTTTTGGATTTTTCAACAGGAGGATACGAGATTTCTGTTAATAATCGAGGCAGATCGATAGAAAAATTAATTTAATTTGTCAATAAAAGACGGTGCTTGAAAAAGATCGTAAAACGTATGCTATAGTTGCGACGTGTCTTGCAATAAATAGATTTAAATGGTCTCCAACGCAAATAGGAGGATCTAGGAAGCGATGTTTCGCATAATTCGGTGTTCGCTAAACGGTTATTTTATTTTCAAAACCGAGGTCTCTAGGAATCATGTACTGTTTAATCATCTCGTCTGTTACTCTACTTTTCGCTTCTTGATGCGCGGCGACGAGTCGTTGTAGAACGTCGATCAGCTCCTTCTTTAGCTCGCCCGTCAAAATCTCCCCGCTGGTATACCCCTGAAAAATAAACATCATTTGTACAACGCTATAGTCTAATGTCCATCAACATAACTTAGCTTTTTAGTTTCAGTGTAACTAAACTTTCATCTTTTTCTAATTCTAAGAATTAGAAAGAGATGAAAAGTTGAACCGAATTAAAGTTAATCTACGTTGGTGGAAATGAACATTAGGATAAAAATAAACGATAGACATAGATATTCATAGTCATTTTTTATATTAAGACCATCTTAAGTACAATCTTAAGGTGTTATAAGCCCGTAACACACAATAGGTGCAATAAATCTTAAGTGAGAAATTAATCATAGTTGATTATTCTCTTGATATTTGATTGTGATTGGCCAATATCTTACAACTTCAAACTTATTACACCCATTGTTTCAGAACTAATTACGGTATTATTTTAAGACATTACTTAAAACGGTTTTAAAAGAATGGACTATCAGTTAAAGTGTCAGCCGACTGTTGTGTCATTTATGGAAAACAATTAAGGTTGTGTTATATTCATGTCGCATTCACATTGCCAAGGACTTTTCATAAACGACAACAATTGGTCGACAGTTTGTCTACCGTGCCTTTCTGGCCTTAGGCCAAGTACACGATAGGTAGGTGGCCTTAGGCCAACTATTGTTGGTGATGGAAAATCCTTGGGATATGATCCAACTTTATTTTCCATAAACGACAAAACAGTCAGCCGATATTTCTATCGTATGCTTTTAAGTACTCCTAAGAGATCGAGAAAGAATCGAAGCAATTGATGGAAAACTAACTTTTCTAATTTGTTCCAATCGTTCGTCGTCTTCCAGGAAGAATCGCAGCCACTGATAAGATATGTCCACCTCACAATTGCCGCCGAGTTGTCTGTGCTCCTCCACGGTGGCTTGACCACCCGAGAACGCATGTTTATTGATCTTATTCTTGATCTGTTTGGCAGTATCTGTGAGGAATATTGCTGTATTATTGTCGCTCGCCGACATTTTCGTCTTCGAGCCCTGTAACGCTGGAAAGAAGGTTGCATGCAACAACGCTGGTTTGGGGAAACCCAGCCTGGGCGCCACGTCCCTCGCCATGCGGAAGTACGGGTCCTGATCGATCGCGCATGGTATCAGACAGTGCACTTTAGCGTCCTTGAAGATAAAGGGGAATGAACCGGAGATCGCCGGTGTCGCTTGCGTTGGCGGAAACGCGATCTTCGCGATCGGATCGCTGTCACCGAAACCGAAAATGCCCTTCACTTGGTTGAACGTCACGCATTTCTGTATCCTGATCATGTTCTGGTAAAATGCTGAATTATTTCCTATGTGTTCTAGGTTGGAAAAGATAAAAGTTTTCTCGGGATTAAAGCCGCAGGCGATGATGTCCCTCGCATTGGCGTAAGCCAGCTTAATAGCATCTTCTATACTTAGGTTCTTCCATATAGCTTTCTCATCATCCGTCAACTGTATGATTAGCGGTACATTAAAAACGTCTTGTAACCATTTGCAGAACATAAAAGGTATGAGATGTCCCAAATGCATCGCGTCAGAGCTCGGTCCTCTGCCCGTGTACAGGTAAAAGAATTTGCCTTGCTCGTAAAGATTCAGAATAGTATGCATGTCTCTATGGGAGAAGAATATGCCTCTTCTGAGAAAGCAATGTGGTTTTTTGCCAGTAATTTTTTCAAATCTAGCTAATAGTTCGTCATCTATCCTAGAACTCCCGAATCTTTCTGCAAAAAGAAAAGGAGTATTAGTTTCTACAAAGCTCAGAATACAAATAACTTATAAATATAATATTCTGTTTATGTTTATACACTTGTACTTAAAATAAAAAATATATTTGAAGTTTGACGAAAACAAGATAAAAACACAGTACGCTTTGATGCTTTTCAGCAAGAAATATAATGTAATATTATATAATAAGTATTTCATGAACGTTGGCAAATAACAAAGGATGCTTCCCAATAAGAAACAGATGACACCGAATAATACAGTTAATTTCGTCTTTATTTACCATTCGCAAATGACACGCAAAGTCTAAAAGACATCTTTATGATACTGTTTAGATGCATGTTCTCAAAGATAACTTTATGATATCTTTATCATGTCTTTTAGACATGCATGCTGTTTGAGATTAGTAAACAAAAAAATGATTCACTTGCATTATTCTATATCATCTGCATCTCTTACTGGAAAGCATCTAATGATGCAATAATTCACGGTATTATATTAGACCTGTTCTTTTTAGCTAAACTTTTTACACAGTTTATCTTTCTTTCTGTTAGAGAAAAAAAAGATAAAAACTGTACAAAGGCTTAGGTAAAAAAGGATAAGCCTAATGTATTTGTCTCATTGGGAAGTATTCTTCGTATCTTGAGAATATCTTAAAGCCATAGACGTTTTGTGAATGTGTTTAGGACAACCCTTGGAGATCTGAGTTGTAAAAAATTTTAACGCAATTGTGTGCTGGTTACGAACGTAACCTAAAAAAAACGTGAAAAATCAAACACCTGTTCCACGCGTGCATTGTTCATAAATCTACAAGGATAATGGTTTGACATCATAAATTGCTCCTCGCAAGAGGCGCGACTTACTAATCAACTTGTCATAATCGATCCCGGTATCGTTGACGCTCGCCACCGTCCACGGTGTTACGACGTCGTCGTCCTCGGCAACGCCGTTCAACGCATTGTCCTGTACCTGCGCGTCCTCCGTCGCCATGTTTTCCCCGTTAGTGTTTCTTTTCTCAAATTCTGAACGCGGTCGCGCGAAAATCCACGCGGGCGATCTGGTTCATATGCGATGATGGGCGACACAGCTGGGGACACAGTTAGCGGACAGCTCGAATCTGAGAGGTTATGTCATCATCCTGCCCGAGTAAACGGAAGAGGTACCGTTTAGTACCCCGTTTATTTGACGATGCGCACGCAAGATAAATTGCCGCATCGTGGAATTTTCGCGCCACATCCTCTTAATTGCCGAGGTGATGCAACCGTCGGCACGATTTCTCTCGCGATGGTCGAGTCTGCGAGAATAAAACCGCACGATTGCGTATCGCAGTGCTTGACGACATAAGACAGATTTTCCTCGTTCCTGTCGTTGTGCCGTGTCAATTCGCTTGGCAAGCAAAGAGTGTTCATTCATGCGCTCTTGGCGAACGCTTTCTCGTTTCATTGCAGTTGCGTGAAATCGCGTTTTACGATTTCTTTTCTGCAGGCTTTTGTCTACAAAATGCTCGGCGATCTGATCAATGAGTCATTATCATGCATTTCCTGACGTCATTCCACTTCCGCGAAAAAATTACATTTCCTGAGACTCGCAGCGGAACTTCGTTCGACAATACGCGTTGGCAACTCGCACTTCACACGTGTCGCGAGTCACTAGTGACATCTAAGACGCTCTTCGATTTTCTAATTAATCTAATCATGGTTAATTGTGCAAGCCCAATTTAAAATCATCTTGAGTCTGATCTCTTACAAGATGATTTTAAAATTGCGTCCAGCCAATGAAAAATCATATAACATTTTATAAGTCATATTTTGAGATCATATTTTTTTATTCTGTTTCCTTCTTCGTGTTTATTATTATGTTTTTTTAAATTCGCATCTTTTTCTGGAGAGATAAAGTAGAAAGATGAACTGTGCAAAAAGTTCAAGTCCAGTTGAAAAGAGCAAGCCCTCTAATTCTATTTTCATTTGTAAAAACAGTTTAATGATTTTGTACCATAAACATAAAAAATTTTGATTTAGATTAAAAGGCAGAAATATAATAATAACGCAAATATTGAGGACAACAACTTACAAAGATACATTTATTAAGATACATTTGTTTAGTAAGATATACATAAAAATAGTTTGCAGGCTAAAAAAATAGTTTTATGTCGTTCTTCAATATAATTTTATCTTTCAACTACTTCTACAGGTATTACATTGCAACCCAAAAGACCTTTTCCAACCCAAGGACGCGGAGTTAACGATAAAACAATCGTATTCGAACCGCGTTTAATTTTTACATGGATTGTCTTGTATCTACTGTTTTCCACCAGCTTTCCAATGTCTGTTAAAGATTTAAAATTTCGACAATGAACAGATCCAAATTCCAGTATCAGATCCTCGACTTGGATACCCTGAACAAAAAAATAGCAATAGCTTTTATTTCTTGTATCCAGTTAAAAAGCTTTTGTATGTAACCAAATTTTAATTATAACCGTTAATCTGTAAAAAATTAACCAATTAGAAAGTGCTTTCTATTCGGTGACAAACATCATTTTTAGCATTTAGTAACAAAAATAGAATTACATTTGTGTCAACTTTGTCACCAAGTGGAAGGCATTCACATGTTGTGATTATTCTCTTTGTAGAATAATAATCGATCGCAATTAATAAGTTTTCATATGGATTTACGGTTATAATTAAAAATTGATTAAATGTATGCGAAAGTCTTAAGTGAGATTAGGCAAATGAGTGGCAAATAAATACATTAAATTTTAACAACTCAAAATCAATTAAAATTGTCCATGTAAAAGCATAGAGATAATTCATACTGCGGTCTCTGCTGGTGAACCAGGTGACACTAAATTCACCCTGAGGAAAGGCTCTAGCGCTTCTGTCTCTTGAATGTCAGACATATCAGATAACGACTGTTCGGTCTCACTTGCTCCTGCTAAAGCATGAATTCTGTGCAATCCGTCTTCTATCTTTCTCATCAAATCTTTATGATCGTTTGTAAGACCTGTATGACAACACAATGTTATTCAAAAATAAACACACACGGTATTGTTTTGCTCCATGTTATAAGAAATGTATTACACACATATTATTTTGTGTCTCGTGTGTCTCACTTGATAAACGTCGATGTTCTGCCTGGGATATCCCTCGGAATCCACCAGTGACTCGTCCATGCCGATGTGATTCTGCAATTACACCAAGAATATGTAGTACGAGGCTTTCAAAAATCTGACAGATCATGCTGCAAGACGAGCTCGGCGGTATTCCGCCCGACGACAACGTCACTCTTGCCATTACGGTGTAAAACCAAGTGTGATACATACGGAATCTAAGATCTCCTTCAGCGCTCGTAGATCGGATTCTATCTTGTCTTTCTCCTTCATCAGCTGAAGAACAGTATCTTTAGCTTCCTGCAACTCCATGTCGACCACCATTTTCGTTTTAATCGCCCAGGCCCAGCTCTGGTTTGGCGAAAGACTTTAACAGGTATGTACGCGCATTTCTCGGGCCCCACATCAAGAAAGCATGAAAAAAAATTCTATTGCATTTATGATTCATTTATATTTCACACACATACATTTATGTTAAAACTTTAAAAGTATTACATAATATTTTATGTACACATTATTAATTATATATTATATATATTATTTATTTGTGTATTTTATATATAAATTATATACACATATTTCTTAACATAAGTAGAATAATTAATTTTTAATTTAATTACTTATCGAGTTATTAAATTATTCAGTTATTAACAGAAATATTAGTTTCTTTTTTCGTTTTAATTTAATATATACAAGGAGAAAAATTAGAGATGTTAAATATAAAAATGTCATCGTAAGTGATTCTGCTGACTGAATTAATGATTATCGATTAAATTAATTGGAATTTATTAATTAAAATCGCCTTGAATTTCGAAAGCACATGCGCGAATATATAAGAAAGAATTGATTCTTTTAGGAAATTTTTAGTTTTTATTTGTGATTGCAATAAAATTTTGCGACAAATCAACATTGTTCTTGATGACGCTTAAAAACTGATTATCATTACGACATCACGTTACCGTTTATGAAAAGTTAATAAAAAATCACGCGTCTATATTTTTTAAATTTGCGCGCGGTCAGGCTGGGAACGTTGCGCGGCAAACTTCTCGCAGTTCACGCCGTGAAGAGGGCTCCGCTTCGCTTTGTCCATCTTCGCCGACGAATGACACGCGGCTCCGACGCGAGCTTTAAAAAAGAAAGAGGAGAACGAAGCTATCCGCACGTCAGGATAAGATACGGACACCTCGTCCAGAGTACGATCCTCGTCGTGGCGGGTTTCTTGACTCCCGGGTGGAGCGTGACGTGCGTGGCGGATCTTGCCAGCTATTTCCGGCGGCACGCGGCGCCGCTGACCGCAAGGTGACGTTTGCTGTTCGTCGAACGACAAGTGCGTTACCTGCCTAAGCCGTATCTCGGGGGGCGAGAGGCGAGAAGTCTAAAGCGCACGCACACGTCAGTCAAGTTGACGAAATTTAGCGTCGAAGCGCACCAAGACTACGCAGTTGGTGTCCCGGCTGTTCATTCCGGTTGCGAGACAGTAGGAAGACCCTTGTCTCTTCTTCAAGGTTCCGAGCGGTGTTCTCGCCCCCAGAAAGATGGGTCTCACAATCAGCAGCCTGCTCACCCGGTTGTTTGGCAAGAAGCAGATGCGGATACTGATGGTGGGTCTAGACGCCGCCGGTAAGACCACCATCCTCTACAAACTCAAGCTCGGTGAGATTGTCACCACCATACCCACGATCGGCTTCAACGTCGAGACGGTGGAGTACAGGAATATCTGCTTCACCGTGTGGGACGTGGGCGGCCAGGATAAGATCCGGCCGCTCTGGAGGCACTACTTCCAGAATACCCAGGGCCTTATCTACGTGGTGGACAGCAACGACCGCGAGCGTATCGGTGAGGCGGAGCGCGAGTTGGCGAACATGCTGAAAGAGGACGAGCTGCGGGACGCAGTACTGCTGGTATTCGCCAACAAGCAGGATCTACCTAATGCCATGTCTGCCGCCGAGCTCACCGACAAGCTGGGTCTTAATTCGCTGCGAGGACGTCACTGGTACATCCAGAGCACCTGTGCCACGCAGGGACACGGACTGTACGAGGGTCTCGACTGGCTGAGTAACGAGCTGGCCAAAAAGTGATAGCGTCTCATCGCATCTACTACTTTTAAGGACAGTTCATTCATCGTGTATGGACGTAGAAGACAGGAGGAGAGTCATTCGGCAATTTCCATCTTTGTCAAATTGTATCGATATAACGTCGTATCATGTACAGTTTAACAGTCGCTGCGTTCACAATTGCTTACAGAAATTGATGCAAAATCGAATCAAGAATGTTACGAGCGCTATCTAACTCTTCATCGCCATACATGCGATTTAATTCGCGTGGATTGTGCTCCAGGAACGAAACTTGTTTCACGGCTAGAAACAAGAACATCAGGATATAATAGGTGGTCCTTGCGTCATTTATAAGAATATATATATATATATATATATACACAAAGGTTGTACATAGCACTAAGTTCTTTCATACATACCTAATATTTGCCAAGTGAATTCTAATTTTGCCTCTTTGATGCAGCGAGTGATAAAGTATCGTTTCGATCAGTCGATTTAATTCTGTGTAGAGATTTATTTATTTATGTATCGTTATGTGGAAAAAAACCGTTGGATATCCTAATTTGTTTTCTATTTTGGTCTACGTCCGTGCTATTCATGAAGAATGATATAATGTATGCATTATGTGATGTTATACACAAGTTTACATTTTTCTTTTTTTTCTAATAAATATAAGTAAATTTTTGGAATAAGTAACTGATAGCTTGCATAAGGCTTTACAAATAAGTGAACGATTAACTTTAATCTTGCGAAAGGAAATAAAACTTAAAACTAAGGTTCATCAACCGCGATTTTCCTTTTTAATAAAAATAGACACTTAATTGTAAGAAATGTTTAGAAATCATTGTCACAATAAATCCTAAACATATAGAAAATATATAAATGTCAATCAATTTTTCTACCTTGTGAAAAATCAAAAACATGAGTATCAGGTTCGTTTTCATTAATATTCAACAGCACATAAAAAAAAAAGAAAAATAAAGAATATGAAAGGAGCCAGGCGAGAAAACAGTACCCGTTTGCTCGCTCATCAAAATCATGTATTGTCGTGTTAACTAAATGTACAACTTTTGTTACGGTACAAAATGGTACAGTAGTGCTACAAGTACCTACTGTATAATATATTGTATAACGTATCAAACGATTTGTTAAAGTATGGTGTTATTTTTTCGTACATAGCACAGCAATCTATTCCATCTCTATTACGAGAAATATATTATAGGAAATAAATTATAAGAAAGAACGCTTCTATTTACGAAATTTATGTACATGGTCTTAAGATACAGTAAAAGTAGATAATCGTTGAAACGTTAGTGCGCGACGTCACTATATATATAATATACGCATATGTTCATTCTTTATAACTTTAACAGACTTTTTTTTCAGTACCCTACATACTTTTCAGCTTATTATACAAAAAAATATGTAATCTCCCGTTTATCACGTCTTGAAGCGTTACATCATCGATACAACCGTCTGTAAAAGCTCTAAGATATATATAATATTCTTTTTCTTGTAATTTCGATCAATATTGCTTCGCAATTCACAGGTATTAAGTCTATTGCGAATAGTCAGCGCTAGTTCTATGCACATTTTGTTTTTAACACTAAGGATTGATTGACTCTTGGAATAAATATTACGTATTACGCCCGTATTACGTATCGGATAAACACAATGTAGGTTTAATCGTGAAGTATGATGGTTGTACAAAAACAAGTTATATTTACAACTGTTTTCAGCAGTTGGGCGAGCGGACACTCGGCTTCCCCGGATCCTCCAAAACAGCATGACGATCGACGAAGGAGCTTAATTGACTCATTTACGTACCCACATGTTCTTCGATGACGTATTACTCTTACCCAGCGCCGGGAAGTGGTTCTCAAGCGTATGACTGGACATATGCATTTTAAAGTCCAAGCCGTTCTTAAGAACCTGACCGCACGTAGCGCACATATCCAGCCCCTTCGCCTTCCCGCCCGCTTTCCTCTTATGCACTTTGAATAGTTCCTGTTGCTTCGGGATATCTGGCAACAATACCAGGAGCTCGGGGAATACGCTTTCGAAGGCGCTAGCGCCCATGACTTCGCAACAGTGTGTGTAATACTCTTGGGCGTCGCAAGTACCACCGCGAAAGAGGCCGCTTACGTAACGGAATTCCTCGATTTTGCTCTGCTCCACGAGGACCGCGTTGAGCTTTGCCACCAGACACGTGTTCCGTTTTTGAAAATCGGGTGGCGACACGTAGGCATGATGAGCCGTATGCTTACTGCTGTTATCCGGTAGAATAGAGTAGCTTTCACCGGAACTATTTGTAAATGTCAAGCCGTTACCATCATGCAATCCGTCAAAGCTACTGTATTTTATAGAAAAACCAGGCGGTGGTAGAGTCGGCGAGGAAAAACCAGGTGGCGGATTCGTGAAGCCTGGTGGTCTACTGCTAGTGCTGCCTAAAGCAGGAAAATCTTCCGTCTGATGGATATTATTGTTGGTGGTGTTCAAGGTATTTATCTTCAACTCGCTACGCTTTCTCTGCTTCTCTCCGTTCGAAGAACCATTGCCTACATTTTCGGTTTCCGTATTTATAACAGTCGTAACGCCTGAATTTCCGTCTACATTATTTTTGTTTTTTCTCTTGTCTTTTTTATTTGCGTGTTCTGGCTCCTTCGAGTTCTGCGCGCTTGAGTTCTTGCTATTATCGCCACTCGCATTGGTATCCTGTGTGACTCGCGAACTTTCCTTAGAAGCAAAGCGAGAGTTTTCTGAGTCATCAGTACGCGCCAATTCGATGTCCTTCTTTGTTACAATAGTATTTATATTTGATTTGGAGCTGCTAGACTCGTTACCACTCGAACTGTTACCACTCGAAGCTTGCTTCGCCTTTTTCTTCTTCGTCTTACTCTTCGTTTGATCCGTCGTTGTTCTTGTGCTGTTGTTGGTATTGGAAGTCTGGACGTTGTTGGTGTTCTGCGAGTTCTGTCCCCACGATGGTACTACCGTGATTACCGATTGTTTTTTCGACTTTAACGACTTGGACAGACTTGGAAAGTCTTCGCCGGATCGAATGGGCGGTGCTGATGGTATCGAGGGTGGCGGTGCCACTTTCTTAGACTTGGGCGTGTTCGCTGATGCTGATTTCGAGCAGGTCCATTGTAAGACTTCCTTCCACTGAGTGGAATTGGCAGTACTGGTAGACGGTTCAGAATTACCTAAGGCAGGAAAATCGGAATCTATCGATAATTGTGCGGGACGTATTCTGATGTTGGGTCCGGATACTCTGGTGGTGACAGTGCCGTTGGGTTCATGATTCACCTGAATAGAAACGTTCGATGATGCGGAACCTTTCTGACATTGCGATAAGCTATTGGATCCCGTGGCGTTGCTACTGCTGGAAACGCTAAAGTTCACCGTCTTCGAAATACTGGGACCAGCCGAATCTGGACCCAATGCTGGAAAGTTCTCGTCCGTTACCGCGAGTGGTTGATTCCTCACGGTGCTACGAATAGTCACGTTGCCTCTGCTTTTGGGTTGGGATAAGGTGGGAACGACAGGAACGGCACTACCACCTAACGTAGGAAATTCATCTGTGCTTTGCACATCGACGGACGGTTGTTTCGTGAAGATAGGCTCATTGTTAGACGCGAATGAACTGGAGCCGCTGGTTATCGAGCTTTGTTGATAATCTCTAGAACCATAATCCCTGCTGTTATAATCCCTCGTGTTTCTCGACGTGGACGCGCCCAGCATACCCCTTCTGTTCATCCGATTTTCGCCGCGCGGCGCCAAGGTAAATTCCAGCTCTAATGTTCTCGCCTGCTTCGCAGCAGCTTTACTCAACTGTTTGCCATGAACGCTGGCTTTGTGCGCCTTGAGATCTATGTCGGTCCGAAAAACACTCGTGAACTTTTCTTCCACGCACATTCCCTCCTCGCACAGATAATGTTCCTGTCGGAAGTGTTCTCTGAGATAATCGTAGGAGCTGTAATACTGATGCAGACCGTCCGCGTCACAGAAATGACAATATAAGTGGTCGCGTCTCAGATGCCGGTACAGCTCATCATTGTCCATGTATCGCTGATCGCAAAATTCGCAAAGTGGATGACCCTTGTGACTTTTATCATCAATATCACCTTTTCTTCGATGTGTGGCTAAACTTGATCTCGTATAACAACGTCTTTCATGCGAAAATATCTGTTAAGAAGCAAATGATAAATTAATAAAGAACACTGCGATTTATCATTTATTGATTAACTCGTAACAGATACACATTTTTTATAACGCTGAAGTAACACATGTGTCCTTGAGATCCACTACAACATTTTTGTTATTATTTTTAAAATTATAAAGTATATAAAAATTGCAACACTTGAACTTATTATTAGCGTAAATGCTATAAATATAATTATATATAAGATAATTAGTTACATGAACAAAATAAAACTGTCAAAGATGACATTGTAAAACATAAAATCAAATACATATTACAACTTTTGAGAATGTCAAATAGGAAAACAAATTAACAAAGGGCTAATGTGAGAGTTTCTGCATGGTAATTGATACAAAAATAAAATTATATATTTTCAATTTTAATAAGTATATGAAATGATTAATGTTTACATAATTTTTCTCGTTTTTATTTTCATGCTATTAAAATTGAAAGTATACAAATTAATTTTCGTATCAATTACCACATAAAACTCTCATTAGCTTTTCATTAGTTTTTTTTCTTATTAAACATAGAATTGCATTAAATCATTAACCTATTTGAAAATTAGAAAAATATCTCAAGACCACTAGGACTTATATGTTTCATAATTACGGATTAAAAATATATTTGAACTCTTACCTTCAAGTTCTCAACACATAGGTCACAATAATGTAGCTCGTGCTGTTGTCGCATATGATCTTTTAAACTATTGAAACTGCTAAAGACTATCTTCTCTTTACATATCGAACAGGTGTTGGCTAACAATTCAGTGAACTTTTCTTGAATATCAAGACTACTAAAGTAGATGTCGTATCGGGTGTCCAGCAGGTTGGTATTGGTCAAGCTGTAGAAAGGTTTGATTTCTCGTGTGAACACAACTTTTGGCAGATCCTGGCGGCAGATGGGACACTCATTCTGAAGACAGAGCACTCTCATCCGGGTGCTGCATTCGTAACAGACAGGATGCTCGCACATGCCAATGCTATAGATGTCGACATTCTTGTAGCACACCACACAGGTATTACTGTTAAAGCTATCATTGTTTCCAGACATCTTTGTGACAGGAATCAGGATCCTTCTCAGTCACACCTTTGCGACTGAACTAGTTCAAACTCTTGCTCAAAAATGTGAACAAGGATCTTTCCTATGACAATACAACAGATTCGGTTGATTCTCACTGACAGGTCTCCGCGCATTCGGGTTCCTAAAACAGAATACAATGGTAAGGACCGTGCAATTGCAAGACAGAGAAGAAGGGGAGGGGGAGAGAGAGAGAGAGGAGATCGCGCATGACAAAGTGAATAATCTCATGTAATCGCGAATCGTTTCGCACGATAAGCCGAGGTGACACGTATATCAGCCTCCGATCGTCGTCACGCGACGCAAAATCCTCGAAAATATCCGGCCGTACCAAACTGGCTGGGAGTCCTCCGTCGGGATTCGTCGGGTTGATTGGCTGGACACGATCCTCCGAAAATAGATAACGGCCGCGAAATTGGCAGCCGTTTCAGCAGATGGCAGAATCTCGCGGAGCGGCCGAGGTTACTTGGAATCTACGAGTTTCCAGGTTTTCGCGACCAACGATCGGTCGAAACATTTTACTCTCGCGACCGCGCAAAATCTTGGACACCCCGAGATGATCGCAGACAGGAGAGAAGAGGACAGAGACAGATAGACTTCGGTCTCGAGAAAAGGCCCGACCGAACAATCCTACCTGCGTGCTCGATGATGCTCCGTACCTGCAGCTCGCGGCACGTATCAGTGGCGCGCCAACGGCCAAAGGCGCGGAAGCCGACAGAAATCACCTTGCGAATCCGGAAACTGTCGGAAACGTGTGCCTGCCTCTCGCTTCTCGATACAGCGGACAGTCGCCGCGTATTCTCGAATCTCGCGTCACGCGGCGATACGTGTACCGATCGGTGATATCAGTTACGGATTCGCCGACATCCGGGATTTAATCGTGAAAGCGCGGGAACTGGCGGAAACGTTCTTTTTTTTTTTTTTTTTTT